ATAATATATGTATAATAACGCGAATAATAAGATTGAAATATTAGAGTAATGTAATGTCATGATACAGCAATCGTTTAATTAATATAATATATATACTAGCGTGTTATGAAAGTTTAAAACATCGGGCGAAATCGAATTTGATTCTATGCAATGTTAGAGAAACAATATTATTCGTAAAATTCGATAACACCGGAGAGTGTTGTATCAAAAAATTTGTAATTTTTATCTATTTCGTTTCAATTTTTCTTTACAATAATGAGGGATCGCGTTTCGATGGATTTATCATCATCATACAGTTTCATGCCATTTATTAATTGTTAATTGTAATAGCGAATTATACTTCGATACTAATCGCGATCGTACTTTTAGGGAAAGAATTCAATAGTACGGAGCGTTCTGTATCATTACTTTACCATTCGAGTGTCGTCGCGCAAATGATACGAGGTCGTCGCCTATGTAAACAATAGCGCGCACACGTCATCAAGGCCGAAGGTCGTGTTATTGATAACTCGTTGCTGAAATATTTTACGCGTATTATGACGTATATATACGAGAATTAAATTTATATATAAGTATATTTTTAAAGTCACACACACACGTACACGTACAAATTAATTATTTATTAAATAATTAATATATCTTACAAGGTTTCCATTGTGTTAATTATTCGATTGTTTTATTGCGCATTCTCAAGTGAATTATATTTTTTTAGATCAAATAATTATACAATAAAGTGTCGGACAAAATATTTTTAAATCTAAATATTAGAATAGAAATGGAAGAATAATTATTGCTCGTAAGGATTGCAACAAAATGATAATTTATAATTTTGACTTCTACATCGTATAATCGAGTATTTCGAATTATGTGGAAAAAGCAATAGTCAAATCAGCTCTTTATTAATAATAAAAATGTAACTCATTAATGTTATTCCACACGTTAATATCGCGACAACAATAAATATATGAATAAACTTTAAAAAAAGATAATTAGTATATTGAAACAGTTTTGCCAATTACTGATACGAAAACTGGCCAATTGACTAGTTGGTTGAATCGTTTCAATATATTGGTTCTTTTCTTAAAGGAACTGTTATATGGCGTACATCGTATATTATGTTTATGCGCGGCACGTGTTCGAAATAACTTTGACATTCTTGCGGGAAGATTCGAGTCGAGCAGATCGTGTTTCGTTCGTTGAGATTCTTCAAAACGCGATTGTTTTTATAATTTTTGCAATTAGTAATTATTAATTTGTACGATTTTTATTTATGCAGCGGGTTACGTGTTATTTTGATCGCAATTAATGTCATAGCTTTTTGAGATTTATTGCATTATTATCGCGTAGCAAAATGACAAAAGACGGTGTAACGTCACGAGTGTTGTACAAAGCGTCACGTATAAATTGCCATATGATCGTATGCTGATTAGTGCGTGATTATTTTTTTCGTAAATAAATATCAAGTGAAAGCCATGAAGGAGCAGGAAAAAATGAACAAGAGAAATGAAAATAACGATGGCGAAGCAATCGTGAGTAATTTATTACCTATTTTATTTTATTATATTTTATTTTATACTTATTTATGAAATTTTCTATTTATTATATTTATTTGTGAAATTAATTATTTGCTTTTATCTTTAATAATAATTTATTTGATCAATGTGAAATATTAAAATATTCTATATATATTGTATATATATAAACTTTACTTAAATTATATAAAATATTAAATAATATTAATATACATAAATATAAATAAATATACATGCATATACAATATATATTTTAAAATTATTATTTAAAATTAATAATTAAAATAACAAATAGATTTTCATTTAGTATTCCATAAAAGCATATATTTAAAAAAGAATTTAATTGCATGCAATTTTCCTAAATCTTAATTATTTCTTTTATTACCACTTTGTGTACGACTTGAATTTATTTCTATTTAATTACATTTACTGAATACTATAATTCTGCTGTTTCGCATTGTATCAGCAAGAATTAATTTATTTTTATTTCATAAAAAACTTTAAGTTAATCTTATCGTAATTAAGTATCTTATCGTTAATATATACATGTAGCTATTTTTGCACAAATCCATTTAGTATCTCGGAGTAAATTAAAATTTTTTTCTTTTCTTTAATAATAATACTTTAACTTCATTAAAAGGATATTTTTACATTTCTATTGGCATATTAATTCGATGTTAGGTTCAAACGTCACTTTTTCAATATTATAAATAATATTATAGGCACAAAATTTACATGTATTTTATCTGGACAGGGCTTTTTATCGATGCACGATGCATCGAAATGGATTGAATTTAAAAATAGAGAACATGAAATAGACAAAATGGTATCTTCATTATTGATACACGTATAGTATATTAACATAAATTATAAGATTGAAAAATTAATCTAATTCAAAGCCATGATATAGTGTAATCATTTAATTTATAATTAATTTATAGGAATATTTTAAGAAAATTAAAAATACCGGAACAAAATATATTTGATTTTTGTACGTAAATTGTTAGATAAATAATTATTAGAGATTGGGAATCGAAGGATCGTAACTAAATTTATAATATTTTATTATTGTTTTCATTTTATTATTATTTCTTTCACTTGTAATTATAGATGCTTTAATAAAAATTATCGTCACAATAAGTTTCGCATCGTTTATATTTAAAAGTTTCAGTTAGGTTCAAAAGTTTAGTAATCGTTAATTATAATCATATCATAGCTGATTAAATAATTATTATTTGTAAAGATCGATAATTGAAAGATCGTAATGAAACTTATAATTTTTATTCCTGCCATTTTTTACTCGTAATAATCGCTTTAACTTACATTTATCGTTATAATATAGTTTCGTATCGTTCATCATAAATTTAGTAATCCTTAATTCTAATAATCACGACGTTTGGTTTTTGCGACGTACAGCCCGTCATGTTTATGCCCCTTGAGTTATTATTCACGCGACACACACGAGTAGGAAAGTAGTGGTAGTGGAAACTGCGTCAATTCCTTTCCTAAACATCGCGACTAGTCAGAAAATTATTTGTTATAATAATATGATTAATGATTAAATAACATATAATTAAATATATCGTGAAGATGATATCTCGAACTGCTTATTGCGTATAATTTATTCATTAATCAATAATTGATGTATGTATATCTGAGAAGAATCCAAATTATAAATTATTGTTTTGTTACGGTTTTTATAATTATTTCTTTAATAGAATCTAATATATTTCTGCAATAATTGTTTGACTTTTTGATTTTTGATTTTGTTATTCAATTGTTGTACTGCGCGTTCTCAATCCGAATTATATTTAATGAATGATCGAGAAATAGAACGATAGAAAGCATCGCGAATTATATTCAAGTCTATAAATATCGTTAAAAAAATAATTTCTGCTTCGAAAAATCGATTTTATATCGAAATAATAATTTATTATTTTAGATTTCTTGTGCTTCAATTATCGCCTTTACTGGCTCTTAATTGTTAATTCTTCAATTAATTTTTAATTATTATTATTTGAGCCAAATTTTTATTTTTATTTTTTAATATTTATAGTACTTAATATTTACAAATAAACCAGGATATTTTTTGTGTTATAATTTATTTTCAATGATGAATCGTTGTTGATAAAAACTGTACTAAATTATGTAATAATAACGATGGGGGCGGGGTGATAGATGATTATTATATAATAATATCGGATAATATATTTTAATAACTAATTATACTTAATATAGATGGAAAGAGAGACCACAAAACTTATTTATTTATATTAGAAATTATTTATTTATATGGAATTATTATATATTATATTATTATATATTATAATATTTAGAAGAATTATTTATTTATAAAGAAATATTATTTATATTAGAAATTTCTAATATATACAAATGTTTTGCATCACAACACTTGTGTTATCGACATTTCGTGTACGTAGCATGGAACACAACCCGAAATTGTATATTACCGACTGGAAACGTAGTTCATGTTCACGTTTTTATCTTTATAGAGGATGCATCGCTTTCAGGGGTCACTTAAAAGCGGACCATGACATCTCTCATTCTTCTCTCTGTTTATTTTTAAAGAAATGTCATGCAGGAAAAATCTATCGATGAATTAGAAATTGTCTAAAAATGAAATAAAAAGGAAGGAATTTTTAATATAAGGTTGGTCTAAATTTAGGTATCCGCCAGTCTAGTATCTAATATTTTAATCCTTAAATAATGCTTTTACAATGCAACACAATACATAATATTAATAATTAAAATAGGTAAAAATACATAATATTAATAATTAAAATAGGTAAAAATATAAAAGATTGCAAACCATTAATTATTATATGCAAGTCATAAACCATCGATAAAAATTAAACTGTTGAAAATGACATCGCAAATACTTGATATTTGGACACGATTATATTCACTGTACACAGAGAAAATTGTATACTGTATTCAAGTAAATATTATTTATTTTAAGTATATCATAAGTTTGTTTATTCGCAAATATATCACAAGTTCACCACAAGCACTAAATTTAATTAAATATTCTGAAATTTAGTAAGCAATATTTTAGTCAAGAATATTAAATTAAAACAAAAATTTGGTTTGCTTATTGTATAAAGTTGACGTAAGGTAAATTTGATTTTTCGTTGATACAATTTTACAGTATTTTTTAACAGAAGATAAATTCTTCCTTTAAGTACATAATCATGAGATTTTCTAACTTGTGATAAAGTATGTTTTAAGATTATTATCAAGAATATCTTCTTTATTGAGAAGGAAACTATTACTTAAAAAAAGAAAAATAAGTAGAAATAATATTTTTCTCTGTATATAACTGCAGATTTTTGCGATATCAAGGAATATTTCCTGTTTATTTTAGATTAATACACACACACACACACATATATATATACATATATATATATACATATATATATATATATATATATATATATATATAAATTCTCAATATTAGATACAATTATAGCTCCAGTAATTCTTTTATTCTTCTAGCAGAAAGTTTTACGCCCTTCATCGCTTCTTTTGAAATCTACAAATGACAGAGATTAATGCTAAAGAAATAAAACTATGATAAGACGTGATAATTCATTCATGTAAAATAAATAATAGAAATAAATAATAGAAATAATAGAAATAAATAATAGACATAATAAAAATAAATAATAGAAACAAATAATAGAAATAATAGAAATAAATAATAGAAAGAATAGAAATAAATAATAGAAAAAGTTTTACACGTGAGAAATACAAAAAACCATGTGGCAAATCCGGCAATATATCCAGCGTAACTTTGTTACCAAGAGAGCGAAGCTTCCTCGCAAACATAACGCAATCATCGAGACAAGGATCAAGCTGTAATGCCTAAAAGCAACTATTATGCATGAGACGTCTCGAAATATTCAATCTTATTGTTAATAGTAATTAAAACTTGGCGCATTTTACATCATCAAAAATAAAATAAAATAAAATAAAAATATAACAAAAAATACAGTAAATATGTAATAAAGGAATACCAATATCTTTATGGGCGGTAAGTGGGCCAACATATCATCCGATGCAATATAAGGACTCAGGAATGGATCCTTTGATATCAAAGTGACAATTTCTTTCGAAAGTGTGTTCGCATTTGTTTCATCAAGTTGATTGCCTTTTTTATTATTTCTTCGGTGGAAGGATTTTAACCAAGAGCACAATTTGTCATTTTGTTCTGAAACATTACTACTTCTGTTGACACTGAGATAGTAGAATTTTTGCATACATTTAAGAATGTTCTGATATATTCTCAATGTTTTTGTATACATTTAAATATTTGGACTACTTAAAACTTTAATTTAATTTTATACATTTAAAAATTCTGAAAATATTATGTTCACTTTGCATGCGCTTTCGAATTTTAAATATCTGTTAAAAGTCTTTAAAATATATATTTAAAAGAAAAATAAGTAGAATATATTAACAAATAAAATTGTGGGAGAATTTACTGGTCAAATGGGAGAATTTATTCGTTATATATACTATACCATCGACTTCTATGCTTTCGACAGGATTTAACGTCGAATCGGATGTTGGAGATGTCAATTTTATCGAACAATCAGATACACTGTCTTCGTTTGGAATTGATGCTGCAAGATCATTTTTGCTCACTTCCGCAGGAGATTCTATATTTGATGTAGCGCCTTTTTTATCTTCATGTTCCCTGCATTTAGTCAATTTTATTATAATAATTTTTATATCACAATGAGATACATGTGCGATTAATCAGATCATGTATAAACGATTACACAGTAAAAAATTGTGCGTCATATATTAAAATTTTCTTGTGTTATCACGTTTTGATTAATATTTCAATGTAAAATTAACATACAACCTGTATGTTATTATTTTTATAACGTTTTCATGTATTACATTTATGTCACCTTCATAACTTAACACTTTGTATACGTCTCTTAGAAATGAAATATTATTTTGAGCATTTTTAACATAATTATTTTAAACGATCAATATGTCTCAAAGTCAGTTTAACATTCTAAGAAAAGTTAAAATGAATTTTCAAATAATCTTGAACTTTGACATATAAAAATAATTAAATTTACTAAAATCAAATGTTTCTCTTATAAATAATTTAAGTTAAAATAATTACTATTATGTATGTTAATGTCCTCAACATTTCTTACGAATTATTATAACTATTTTTTCATGTAATTTTTAATTAATATGTATGTTATTTTTACATTACACTTAAAATTACAATAACAAAAATAAATGTAAAGTATTGTGTCAATTATTTAACATTTTTAGTTTATTAATAAGTGACATACGATGAATGAATATTTTAACTTAATATTTAAACTTTCTGAGACATGTAAAAAATGTTATAATTAATATTTTATTTTTTACTGCGTAATCTTCATTTTTGATATATTTTTTTTCTCAAGCTTCTATAAAACACACTTCGACATTCATCAGATAAAAATACTTCGATTTGAAAAATATTATTATAATAATTTTAAACAAAATTTCGTACTTTGCAAGTGTTTCGTTATCAGATCCGTACGCCTTTAAGCATCGTACTATAACACCCAACAGTAACAACGTATCGATGGAAAAGAGCATATGAGATGGTGATAGAATGTAATTGATGAACACCGGTGCGTAAGCCATAAAAATACCATCTGGTTTTTTGATATTTAACTGTAGGCATTTTAAGATGGCTCCTAAATTTAAAGTACCTCCCGCAGAATCACCTGTAAAGTACAAATTTATAAAATTCTCACATTTTTATTGCAGTCAAAAATAATCAAGTTTATTATACTCATTACTAGGTATCGTAAAATTTATTTTTTTCTTACCGGCAAATACCACTTTTTTCGCTGTACTTCCGAGTAATGTACTCGCGTGCTTCAACGCCCACGCGTAAGCGTACACTATTTCTTCGAGCGCGCGTGGATAAGGAGCTTGCGGGGCTAAATTATAATCTATGCTCAAAATTGGTACATCGAGCATCGTAGCCCACTTCTGCAAGTACATTAGATGCGATTGCGATGTCTGTGCGATGAATGCGCCTCCGTGAGTATGAATAATCAGACTGTCGCATAAATCATGCAATTCTCCTCTTGTTCCCTCACATCCGATCTTGATGGAATGTTGCGTCAACGAATAATATTATTGCTTGCTTTAGCTAAATATTTTTTATCTCTATTCTATAAACTCTATAATTTATATTGTAGATATTTGTTATATATTAATATTATAATATTCTTGAATTTTTGAATTAAAATATATATATTAGAAAATGTATATATATATATATTAAATATATATATTAGTAAATGTATATATGAAAATCTTGGACAGAATTTTATCATTCATTATTTGTTAATAAAAAATTATTTATTACGAAAGATTTATTTATTAACGAAAAATGTCGATAAGGTTAAATATGATAGGATATTTGAGTTTTTGAAATATAAGTTTTATACTATAAAAAGATCATAAATTTTAATTGTTAAATTATAAAAGCAGGAAGAAAAGTTGTCTAGATTTTATTATTATATCTTTTATAAAAATATTTTAAAGATATTAATTAATTTAGAAAATAATATTTATTGGAATAAAAAAATAAACTAAAATACTGAGATAATTGTTTTCATAATTTTACTTTCATTATATAATAAATAATTTAATAATAAATTCTACAACTTATATTAAGATCAAGATGGTCCATGCTATAAGTTTTTTTTTAAATTATAATTAGATTAATATTATGATTAGTAATGAATCATATAATATCTTATATATATATATATATATATATATATATATATATATATTCAATTTAAAATATTTTACCATTCCTAGACGTCGTTTGGAACTCAGCAATCTAAGCTGAATCGATTTTTTCCCAATGTGACTATTTGGTATTGGAATGGAAACAGTTCCATCATCGAGAGTAGGCAAGATTAATTCCTCAGGTGGAACAGATATTATTTGATTGATAGTTAACGAGGGAGTTAGTATGGAGAATATTTCTAAAATACAGATATAACACACATATATATTTTATTATTTAAATAAAAATAAAATAAAAGTAAAAATAAAAATATAAGCATAAAATTTAAGGAAATAATTGTCTAAATGTGATCGCCATCTATTACAAATATTACAGATATTAACTTTCTTTTTGGACACAAGACATTTATATTTATATATACTAATATGCATTAATATATTAAATATATTTGTTTGCAAACATTATATATAATTTTAAACTTTTAATTAATAGAATTTGTCATGTTTTAATTTCTTATTTTTCTTACTTCGTTCAGACAGGGACCAGAATGCTTGAAAAAAAGGAATATCAGCGAACTGAGATATTCTAACAATACGACGTGCTTTCGCTTCAGGGTCCAAAAAATAGTTGATACAATTAGCACATCGTCCAAATACCGTACCATTGTTATAATACTTTTCGCTATAAAATGTCATAGCAAGTGCTATCATTTTTAATATCCTTTTTAAACTACGAGGAAACTGAAAAATATAACAAATTAGATAAAAACTTGCTCCGAAGAACATTATCCGTTATTTCCAAATACCTGGAATCCAAAGTATCTGCCATAGAAACAATGTTGATCAATGTTTTCTAACAGGTTGAGAAAATTTTGAGCGCTATAATCCATTATGAATAGTGACAATTTGCCATCGCTCATTACTTCTTTGCTCCATGTGTAAAATACTTTCAAATATTTCAAAAATATGTGCATTTTCACCAACAATTGACAGCATGCTTCTATTTTTCTGAGGACGAAACATATTCGGAGCGTTAGATATGAAATGAAAATAAGATATTTGTAATTTCTACAGTTTCTATAATTACTTTATGTGACAGCTCCTTCGGAAAAACATAAAGTTCCTCTGATGATACATTCTTCGGCAAACCTTTTCACAATGCATAATGCACTTGTCGACTATCGAGAGGAAACTTCTGTATCCATTTCCCGGAGTCTTCTCGTCGAAGTCGAAATGCGACGCGAATTTGGCTATTTCATCGTACAGCGGCTCCAATTCGTCCAGCTGGTCCAGAATCAGTAATAAAGCGTCCTTGAGGTCCATATTATTTTTGTTCCGACGAGACGTGAAGTATTCCACGCTGTCATGGCACAATTTTCGCAAAATATCCCATTGCGGTTTAGAATTTTCAAATGGTCCATCAAAATCACTATTCACATTTATCGACATTTTGATGATCCCGAACGTGCGCACTAGCACTGACTGATGTGAAGCTCTCTTTCTCGGTGTTTAATCTCTCCAAGACTAATTGTTGAACAAGCAATAAAATTAATTGCAGACTAAGCAGACTGTAGATGTCTCGCAAACAACTACTGATAATTGACTGACTAAATTTTTAAATGTACTGTCTCACAAGGCAAAACTATTTAATAGTTTAAATTACGTAATCATTGCGTCGTCAATGAATAATAAATTATTCATGCTGGTGATATATAAATATATATATAGGGTGTTTCAGATCACCCGTACACTCCTTTTAAAATGAAAATAAATTGTTTTTATAAAAAATTGCAAACAATTTTTAAATAAATCGAGTACGCCCTATCAAATGATGATATTTTCAACTTTTGATTCCGACAAGAAATACTCCATCCAGATCGGAAATTGAATTTTTTTTAGGGGAACATGGTACTTTTTATTACAGATTCGAATTGTACGTGAGAAAATAGGAAACTTTTGTATCAAATGTTTTTTCTAAAAATGCCTCTGTCAATCTTAAAATTGACCTTTAAAGTAACTCTGATAAAATAATGAACTTCAAATTTTGAGATTGACAGAGGCACTTTCAGAAAAAAACGTTTGATACAAAAGTTTCTTATTTTCTCACGTACAATTCGAATCTGTAATAAAAAGTACCATGTTCCCCTAAAAAAATTCAACTTCCGATCCGGATGGCGTATTTCCGGTTGGAATCAAAAGTTGAAAATATCACGATTTAATAGAGCGTATCCGATTTACTTAAAAATTGTTCGCGATTTTTGATAAAAGCCATTTATTTTTATTTTAAAAGAGGTATACGGGACACCCTGTATATATAGAATTTCACTCGACTTACACTGTTCGATATTTTGATAAAAAAATGTTATAGACACTAACAAAAGAAATGTACAATTTGTAAAATTTTCGAAGCTAAGATCGCAACAATTAATTACACAATTATGTTAATATAGTGAGCCTCTTATGTAAAATAAAACTTTACTTACACAGCGTGTTTGAAAGATTGGTCAGTCAATTGGCAGGCAATCTGTAGTTACTTTACTTTACGTACACGTATTTTATCTTGAAACTGTTCGGTAAAACGAGTTTTATCGAAACTATGAGATTGCAATATCAACATCAACAATTACACAATTATTTTAATATAGTGAGCCTCTTATGTAAAATAAAACTTTACTTACACAGCGTGTTTGAAAGATCGGTCAGTCAATTGGCAGGCAATCTGCAGTTACTTTACTTTACGTACACGTATTTTACCTTGAAACTGTTCGGTATTCTAGTAAAACAAGTTTTATTGAAACTACGAGAGCGCAACATCAACGTCAATTACACAATTATTTTAATGTAGGCGTTCTTTTACATAAACTGACTTTTACATAAACTCCACTTGACATTTGACACTTTCTAAATCGAAATTTTTTTCTTATTTTCGATTTCCATATTTTCAATGCTGTAATATTTTAAGCGATCAGATTATCTTTTGAATCAAATCTTCTTTTGAATCTATTTAAGTTATAGTTTTGTCAAAAACTAAACTCCTTTTTTAAATTTTAAGTAAATAAAGAAACTGTTTACTATTTACTTGAAGTATTAATTTTAAGTAAATAAAGAAACTGTTTACTGTTTACTTGAAGTATGAAATCGACACTCAATTGTTATATAAATTAAATGTATTGAACATTTTTATAATATTCACAAATATAAAAACTTATTAGAGAATTAAAGATTAAAAATAACGGCTTAAGATCGAAAATTTTGTCTCAAGTTTATGAACTACTCTCCGTCGTCGCATCCGTACTTATAATGTCACGTTTCATAATATAAAGTGAGAAAACGCTTCAGAAAGATTATATGTTTTCTAAATTGATTGTATAAATTTTTTTCTGACAAGTGATTATCCAGTGATTAATTTTTTTCTGACAAGTGATTATTATTGCGAGACCGACTAATAATATTGATGTGCAGATAAACACATAATTTATATTCAATATTTATATGCAAGTTTCTTTTATCTCATTTGATCTTATCGAAGATATTATTAGATACAATATTATTAGAAGATATTATTAGATACAATAATTATTGAAGATAGATTTGAATGTTTTGATAAATATGATAAAATTGCTCTTAAAAATAATTTAATGTAGTGATTATCTGGAAGTAATTTATAATAAGTAAATACGTTATGTAATTTATAATAAGTAAATACGTTATGTAGGATATATTATAAAGGATATATTTTAAAGGATATATTATAAAGGATATATTTTGAAATAAATTAAATCTATTATGTAATAAAATTATGGAAAAAATTATACAAATTAGCTTTAACTTCTATCAAAGATCAATGAAATAGAAAAATATCTATTGTTGACGATTAATTATACTCGTCAGTGTGTAAGTATAATTTATGCTTAGTTACAATAATAATACAATAATAATACATAATTACCCTTTACAATAATAATACATAATTATCCTTTGTTGTTTTAATATGACTTTGTTTTATTAACATAATTCCAATGTCAATTTATTAATCAAAATTGTTATCGATTGAAATTTTTGTATAATATTACTTAGAATACAATTTATATATTTTATGTAATAAAATAAAATATAATTAAATAATTTAATTTTTATAATTAAATAAATATAAAAATAATTAAACATTTACTTCGACATTTTTCATTATATTTCTACAAGAATTTTTTCTACAAGAATTGAATTTTTTTCTTTAATTTTGTTAAATTTGCATTTGTAATATATTTTTTAGAATGGATATTGAAAAAATTTATTATTAATTTTATGTGATCCAATTTGTTTTTCCCCATTTAATTTAAGATAACGGATCTGCCTACAATTTATACCTACAATTTCTATAAATCCAGCATCATTTATTCAACATTAACAAAAGTTTATCACTCACCGATATTGATGCGAATTGAAGTTGTTAATATTGAACGTTGTCTGTAACATACAAGAATAAAATCCAAATTATAGTACTGCCCAAAAAATATAATTAATATGAAAAATATATAAAAAAATTATTTCCACATGTGCCGAATTTTATATCTAAAACGTACAATAATAAACAGATATATATGTATGTATATACATATATATATATATATATATATATATATATATATATGTATATTTTGTTTTATATTATTTGAATTAATTAAATAAATAGAAAATTATAAAAAGAAAGATTTTTAAATCGTCTATCAAAGTTTCTAAAAAATAGTCTTTAAAAAATATTTTTTTTAGAATTTATAAAATCATTTCATATGTGTGTGTGTGCATGCGTGCGTGCGTGCGTGCGTGCATGCGTGCGTGTAAACGGATGAGTTTTATTTCGTGTATCAATCTTTTTATCATGCGGCAGATTATCGACCGCAATAAATTGATAAGTACAGATGTCAATTTTGTATACATATTCGCCTTCGATACGGTCGATCAAAATAATTATCATCTATACCGATCAATTTATTATGCAGTCGGTAATCTCTCGTATGATAAAAAGATTGATACACGAAATAAAATTCAGCCTTTATTGTGTGTATATATATATATATATATATATATATATATATATATATATATATATATTTTATACACATTTTATATATTTATCTTATATATATTTGATTTCATATTATTGAATTAATTAAATAATAAAAAATTATATATAAAAAAAAAGATTTTTATATAAATCGAAGTTTATCAAAGTTCCTATTTAGTATACATATGTATATATTGTATATGTATAAACTGACCGGTGTCAAACTTGCATGTCTGACTTACGAATGATCACTTTTGTAATCTTTTATTTTGTACTCACTTCCGATTGATTGGTGTCCTCTTGTATCCAACAACTGAGTCAAGTCGATCAATTGAATTGCTTGCGAAGCTGTTTGCATTTTCGCAATTTAAGCAACTTACTGTCATTTGCGCTCCGTTTATATATTTTCGCAAATTATAACATGGCTTTTCGAGTTATAACAAGTAAAACAGTAAAAATTTTATTCCTTTGCGCGGATTAGAAATACAAATCAGAAAATTCGGAATCATTGATATATTATGAGACGTTACGCGGATATTACTCATTACAAACATAAAGGCCAAAATACAAATTAAGGGCAATACAATATAAATAATAAACATTTTTACAAATTTTATATAAAGCATAAAATATAACTAATTTTCTAAAATTAATTATTACGCGATCAATTCTTGATTTGTCTAGATAATATAATACTGTAAATTACTACGTAATTACGTAATTACGTAATTACTAAAAAAATTTTTTTGAATATGAACTTTCGAAAAATATAATCATACACTCAATAAAAAAATTTTAATTCTTATATAATATATAAAATATCTAAGAAAATGTATTATTGTAAAATATTTTATAAAAGACTAAAATATGTACGTATAAAAATATTAATTAATATAAAAATGTTTGATTATAGATATTTTAAATAATTGCAATTAAAATTTGAAATATGTTTTATATATGCATTATCTTATATTAAGACAAGATAAAAGGCATTTACGAGCAATCACAAGTTGTTGAGTGTGAGAAAGTAAAATTTAATATATATTTAAGTTGACGTTTCGGTTCTTTCTTTGAACCATCTTCAACACATTCTACAATTTAACAATTTAAAAAAATTCTAATACATATATCATCGGTCGGTCATTACAGAACTAAGAACAGTCAAATAACAATAAAAGCGGTCAATCCATTGTATGGACATTTATGCAGTACAAAAATCTAATGCGTATATATAATTTTTAAGCTCGAGTTTCAAAATAGTTACGGTCCTGGTTTGTTGTTTTATCTTCGAACTTATCCCTCGTTGTTTGGCAAGGGAAGTTGATGATGTCTAGATCCTCTCTTGATAATAATTATTATATAGAGTACTAGATTCGAACCCTCGGGCACAGATAAAGTAAACACGAAAAATATAAGAAATTATAATATGTAATTTTAACGTACCCAAAATTCACAAACACAGATATATTTATTGTAACAAAGTTAAAACGTATCGAGACTAATGAACAATAAACTCGTATAGGTCGCTCTCTTGTCTTATATATACAGGAACGAATGTTATTTATTATTGTGTTTTTTAGATAATTTGTTTATAGCTGTAACGTATATCTCGTTCAAATTCTCAGTATCCGTCTGTAAATTGATTGCAGTATCTTGCTTTATTTGATTGATAAGGCCTTTCTTCTGTCTGATCCAGTTTTCCATAAGAAAAATATTGAGTTTATTGTTGAAACATTATTGAAAAATAGTTATCCACTAACAACTATTTTCAAAGTGATTAATCAACGTGTCAGATATCTAATTAAGAAACATAAAAATAAAATCTCAAATCAGGTTAAACATTATCAAGACAGTGAGGAAAATGCTACATATTTCGTACTCCCTTTTTACTCGAATATTAGCGAAGGTTTCAATAAAATCATTCAAGATACTAATATAAAAGTAGCATATTTAAGCAAGAACAAGCTTAACAAGTTTATAAAAACACATAAAGACCCTATACCAAAATTAGACAATAATAATGTGGTTTATGAAATCAATTGCTAAGATTGTGAGGCAATATACATTGGGCAAACAAAACATAATTTAAAAACTAGAATCTCGGAACATCGTAGAAATCTTAACACGAAAATGCAGGGACAGTTTGTCATAGCGGACCATTGCTCTGAGTATAATCATGCATTTGATTGGGATAATGTTAGAATTCTTGACAAAGAAAAGTTCTATTACAAACGGCTCGTTTCAGAGATGATACATATTAAAAAACAAGATACTGCAATCAATTTACAGACGGATACTGAGAATTTGAACGAGATATACGTTACAGCTATAGACAAATTATCTAAAAAACACAATAATAAATAACATTCGTTCCTGTATATATAAGACAATAGAGCGACCTATGCGAATTTATCGTTCGTTAGCCTCGATACGTTTTAACTTTGTTACAATAAATATATCTGTGTTTGCGAATTTTGGGTACGTTAAAATTACATATTATAATTTCTTATATTTTTCGTGTTTACTTTATCTGTGCCCGAGGGTTCGAATCTAGTACTCTATATAATAATTATTATCAAGAGAGGATCTGGACATCATCAACTTCCCTTGCCAAACAACGAGGGATAAGTTCGAAGATGAAACAACAAACCAGGACCGTAACTATTTTGAAACTCGAGCTTAAAAATTATATATACGCATTAGATTTTTGTACTGCATAAATGTCCATACAATGGATTGACCGCTTTTATTGTTATTTGACTGTTCTTAGTTCTGTAATGACCGACCGATGATATATGTATTAGAATTTTTTTAAATTGTTAAATTGTAGAATGTGTTGAAGATGGTTCAAAGAAAGAACCGAAACGTCCACTTAAATATATATTAAATTTTACTTTCTCACACTCAACAACTTGTGATTGCTCGTAAATGCCTTTTATCTTGTCTTAATTTGTTTTTAGTTTTGGACGAGCTTTAATAAACTTATAATTCTTAATAATTTATATACTTATAATACTTAATAATTTATAATAAATTACTATCATTACTGAAAATGAAAAATAACGTGCAATATGTTTATTTTGAAAATAATATAAATGATGAAATAATTTATAAATTACTTATCGCATATCGTTGCTCCTAATATCGCTCGATGTTCTTGATGACTTGTCTTTTTCCTTTTATTCAGCCTTTGCTGTTTTTTCGTGGTACTCACATTCACTCGCTAAAACACGTGATTAATTATATTAAATCGATTAATTATGTTATACCCAACAATCGCGAAACACGTTGCATTCTCGAGCGCGGAAAATTTCGAGGTGCACACTTTACTGCATTATAAGAGAGTAAAAAATACGTTCAATTTTTGTATGACTCTGAAATCGGTCGTTATTTATTATGCCAATGCTATCTTTCTTGTTGATAAATATGTAATATACGGATAATAAGAACATAAGAATGAATATTTAAAGTTAATAATTAATATATATTCACATTTTAGGAAAATTTAAAACATCGAGTGAAATTAGAGAAAAAATATTTAGTAACTAATTAGAAAAATAATTAGTAAATAAATAATAATAAATTAATTAATTAATAAATAAATTAATTTATTATTATTTATTTACTAATATACTATTTATTAATTAATAATAAATAAATAACTAAAGAATTTAATTAGAGATATAATTATTATCCGTATCGATAATAGAAGGATAATAAAATCTATTTTTTACTTTATATCATTTTTGTATTAATTATTGAATAACGAAGAATTCTGCTCCGATAGATTTCATGTCATTTATGAAAAGTTAATTGTTAATTTTTAAATGATAATACAGCGAGTTATATTTCGATACTTACCACGATCGCGTTTAGGAAAAAACTGGAACAATATTTGAAGCGCTTTTTACGAGTGTCATCGTGTGAATGATAATAAGGTCGTGCCACGTATGTATGTATGTATGTATGTATGTGTACATACGTAATACCACGTTATTATCCCTAAGGTCAAACACAATGTTGTTCATAATTCACTGTCGAAATATTTTACGTATTATGACATATGTATATACATATGTATATGCTGAATATTAAATTATGTACATTGTATTTTTTTGAATTATGGATTAATTATTTATTAAAAGATCTTTCTCATGCTTTTTACATACTAATTATTCGATCTTGAAATTCGATTTTATTGCGTGTTGTCAACTTGAATTAATTTTAAATTATCGAAAAGTCATATAAAGCATCAAACGAAATATTTTTATCTCTAAGTATCGATATTAAAGTAATTATTACTCTTAATAGTAAAACTAATTTATAATTAAATTATAAAAGTAAAATTAATTTATAACTTTGATTCTTATTACTTTGATTTTTAAATAATTAAATAATAGATCATATCAGGCGAAACAATCTATCGTCATAATATAGTTACAATGTTATTTAATATATATAAAAAATAATCACTCATTAAGGGTATTAAGAGAACTTTTATATATTATGATACATATGCATGAAATAAATATTTCGAGTTCTATCGTTTCGTTGCATATAGTTACAAATTATTAATAAAAGGTTAATCATTAATCATAAAATGATCGTTAAAAATGATGATAAATCTTGAATCTTTCCCTTCCTCCCAAGCAATTATAAAAAAATCATAAAAAAAATTATTTAATGCTGCTAATGATTAAAACTCTTTATAAAATAAAAGAATATTGTTGAAACTATAGAAAAACTGTAATATAATAAATATCGATAAAAGTTCTCGAAGCGCATATTTTGTGTAATTTATTTATTTAATAAAATAAGAATCGTGGAAACAGAAATCTAAAATAATAAATTATAATTTCGATAAAATCGATTTCGGTACAATCGATTTTTACAAGCAAAAATTATTACTTTAATGATATTTATACAATCAAATATAATTCGACCGCGACGCTTTATCTCGTTCTATTTTTCAATTATTTAAATATAATTTAGATTCAAAACGCACAGCAAAACAATCGAATCGTATATATATATATATATATATATATATATATATATATATTATTTATATTAGTTTTATATATGTCATTTATATATATACATATATATATATATATATATATATATATATTTTTTTTTTTTTATATTCAGATCAAATTATATACTACTTGTTTTCCATTTTCTCGATAATAATTCTTTCTCTCTCTCTCTCTCTCTCTCATTCTAAATTATTTACATTTTAAAATTAAATTAGTATAACACATATATATAAATATATAACATATATATAAACATTATGGATTTAATTTTAATATACTTAAAATATGTATCTATAATAAAATGTTCTTGTATTAATTAATACTTTTATATAGATAAGAAACCAATAATTTTTTTTCTTACTTTCTTATATTTCTTATTCTTCTTTAATTTTTTATATTTCTTAATTAATTAAAATTAATTTCTTAATTAATTATAATTAACAATAATTAATTTTTATAGTAATTACGATATAAAGTAAAATGTACAAATTTCACATGTTTATACGTCGCATTTGCGTCATATTTATAGCATGATATCATTCAGCATAATCCATAAAGACGATCAACGAACAGGAATCTGTCAAGATATGTAAATCGTCAAATTAGAAAAAATAATATAACCGGAAAGATTCGCGTGTTTATATTTCTCGTAAAAGAGTGTGACGTCGATTACGAATCATCGATAATAAGCCAACGAACGACTCTCTCTTGCTCCAGTCTTGATCTTACCTTCGCCAAACGAACACGAGCGTTCTCCCTACACCTACGAAACCGCACGTTGCTCTCGTTATACTGGCTCATTTACGGTCCAACGCGAGATTTCAGTGAGAGTAATTTTTATAATTCAGTATACACGTTATGTTGATGCAATAACGAATTTTTTCGTCGTATCGAATGTACAGATAAATTGGTGAATAGTGAAAGTATTTAATGAAAGAATATAAATAATTTTTTGTCACACATAAGATCAGAGAGAAATTTTCTCGTCAAACGTTCTTCATAACTTGTTTACTTTGCAATGTGTATAATTTAAATTTAAATAATAATCTTTTCGGATAATTTCTTACGTTTTTGAAAAATAATTAATTTTTATAATAAATCGAATCAGTGAGAGAAAATTATGAGAATAATTCTTTCTTATTATCTTTTGTCATTTTTTAACTTGATATTTTTTATTTTTAATAAATAAAAATCTCAAAATTTTTGTTATATATTTTCTACATTATAAGTTACATCTAAAAATTTATGAATGAATAATTGACTGAATTTGTATTCATAAAATTAAAATTCTAATTAATTTAATCGTTTACGATTAAATAGAGTCTTTTGTATTTTGTTAATGTAGAATTATTAATTAAGATATCAGTTAAGATATTAATTAAGATAGAATTATCAATTTTTTGTTGTTTGCGACATTCATGGAAAATAAAATATAGATTTATCAAACTATAAATTATGCTACACGTAGAAATTTTGCTACACGCAATTTTCCAAATGAATTAATCGCCGCTCAAATGGCAGTTGAAGTGAGCCTTAAAAATTATTTAATATAATATAGTATAAAATATATCTTAAATATGCTTTTATGTGTGTGTGTGTTGCTTATCAATTTCAATTTACAATTCTAAATTAAAAAAAGAAGGGAAATTTATTATTTATCAGAAGAATATTCTTTTTTAAATAGCAATAAGCTTTGGAAGTTTTGAAACTTTAACAGAACGAAAAAACAAAATTGAAAAATGCAGAAATATTCTATTTAATTTTTAAATACTTATGCTTATTAATTTGTTCTTATTTATTTTACATTAATAATAATAATGCTAGAATTTATACAGATTATTTTTTCTTCTTATTTCATAATTCTTCATTCATGTATCATTGATCTTGAAATTTTTTCCTTCACATCCTAACACTGTTATTATTTTGCTTTGAAAATCAGTTTTTCTAGGACGTGTTTGTAGTTTGATCGTAGTTCATTGAATCGTAATTGAAATCAATCGTTTGATGATGCAATATGAACATACAAATAATTTCTCTATAATTATGTAATTTGGTGTCCTAAGTCGAATTTAATATAAATATGATTTATTTTACTATATAAATTTGTAACTGTAATTTATATTATATTACATGTCTATTCGTATTAATTTATATTATACGTTTAACAATGTTTATACAGGTCGCAAAATCCGAGGCTGAACGATACTTCAGAACTTTGTCACAGAAATGTTGAGAGTCCGATCCATATCGATCCAATTGGGCTTCATTTGCCTCTTTATACTTAATCTACGTATCGTCTGTAGTTTATCATTAACAACGGTACGAAATGGCACGTTGATAGGTGCGACAATGCGTACTAGACTCGGAAGAGACATTCATGCATTCTTGGGAATTCCCTATGCTGCACCACCGATTAAAGAACTTAGATTCCAGGTAAGATTATCTGTTTATACCGCGAGCAATTACGTCTCTAGAAACAGAATAATCTTGAAATAGTCGGTCAAAAACCTGTAAACTTTCTAGTTTCGATTAATTCCTAATTGATTCGGAGGATATCTCTTCGTGAAAACGAGAATATCGATATATCAATACAATTGGAATGAAAGTAGTTTCAAAGTAATATTTATAATAAAGATCTTTTATTTCTTTAATTTTAAGCGAGTATTAATTCACTAGAATTTTTTATTTAAAGACTTAACAAAGAGTTATGAAATTTTTATTGTAGCAAATTAAAATTAAAAAAATATTTGACATATATATCTCGCTCTAAAATATTCCAACTTAAAACGATTTATAATATCCTCTAATTAATTTATACTCACCATCATTTTTAAAGAATATTATAGATACTTACCCAGGTTTATCATAATTTAAAAATGATTACGTAAACTCGTACGAACTGACCTAACTTGAAAGATTAGGATTTATAATTAAAAAAAAAAGAAATAGATAAGATTAAAGTGAAACAGAGTTAATTAACTAAACCTGCTTGCCTTAATGATCCTTAATGCATTTCTCGCGCAATCAGCAGCGTCAGGGACTTTCACACGACAATCACGTACAGCACGATCATATAGTAATAATAATAACGTAATAATAATAAAAACGCCGGAATTTTTTCTCCTCCGGGTTTACGCATCGTCAGTTCTTTTTTTCTTCACAATTAATACCGTCGCTGTTGCAACTAATTTGCGGCGACTTCGCACTTTCCTAAGCTGATTCTGAGTAATATTCCACGTGGCGTGCTCGGTCTTCGTTCCGCGGAAAACATTTTGCAATCAGATGAACGCGATGAATTTTTCCGAGCACGAGCCTGTTGTAAAAAAAAAGAACCTTAGTCTCGACAAATCTATATAGGGTATTTCAACATCGCATTTTATCGTCTCTTTATATTCACTCGACATTCTGCAGTTCGTCGTAAATGCAACTTGTGCATCGTCTAGCTTTGCATACATTATAGACGATTGTTAATATTATTACATTTCTAGTCAATCTAAATTCCGTTGCTTCCGTTGTGGAATTAGCAATTGCAATGTTTGTTCCATGTATATATAACTTCCTCTTATCATTAATATATTATAAAATACGAGAGAAGCAAATCATATAAAGAAATTCTTTAAAAATATCATTCCTTGGAAATATAATTATTTTTAAATTAATTATAAATATTATATAAGTGTTTTCTGAATATATAAATACAAAGTTAATATGAAATATATAAATACAAAATGTAAAATTAGGAAGAATTAAAGTATAAAAAATTATAAATATGAAGCTATATAATTTAATTTATTATAATTTCTAATTATAAAAGGAAAAGAATAGCACAATAAATGGTGCGTAAGAATTAATAGAATTTTAAATGTATGAAAAAACATAATTAATCAAATGTTTCGATCTTTTGTGGATTCTTCTTAATAGTGACAAAGGAACACTGAATTAAATTAAAGGAACAAGAATAAACGATTCGAGAATACATAAATCGCTGGTTGATATAAACAAAATAAAAGTCATATCAAAGATAACTAACATAAATTTAAAATCGAATGATAAAAAAAGATTAGAATAAAAATGGACTTACGTCACATAAAAACAACATTGTTTTTGCAAATGCGTTTTTTATCTAACATAAGTCCATTTTTATTCTAATTTTTTTATCATTCGGTTTTAAATTTATGTTTGTTATCTATGTATGACCTTTATTTTGTTTATCGATCAGCGATTTATGTATTCTCGAATGTAGTTATTTATTTTTTTTATTTAATTCAATGTTTTTATGAGAAGAATCCGCAGAGGATCGAAACGTTTGATTAATTATATGTTTTTTCGCACATTTAAAATTCTATTAATTTTTACGCACCATTTATTGCGTTCAGGCTGTAATGGCCTTTCTTTTCCTTTTTATGAGTTATTTTTATGAGCTTTGTTTTTTATCTTTTGAATACTTTATTATAGTTTAATTTATTATAATACAGATTGTTTAAAATTTAAAGCATATTCAAATCAGAATATTTATCACATATTTATGATTTTTGGAAAATGTAAATTTAGAACTACTTCGCGGCTGATGCATACACGTAATATATACGCACATATTATTGCGATGATTTATGATGTAAACACAATTGCAATTGATGAGATGTGAAAGACGCAAGATAGTCCTATCAAAACTCTTGCAGATATTTATAATAATGCAAGATGCAATACATCTTGCATACTTGAACAAGATTGCGGAAGTGACAGTCATTGAAATTCAATCGTTAATCTAAGCGAGAAACATCATGGAAATCATGCTAATAACATTTTGTTCGCATATTCTATTGGATATTCTATTGACCGTTTGCTTTCGTCATTTAACGAGCAACGAAGATTGCTCTTTGCATTTTACCTTTGCTCATTTCATAACATCACAGTATTTGTATTCAATGATGCCAATATAATATGTGATATACAGATATAAGCGAGAAAAAGAGAAAGAGAGAGATTATTTGATATTAACTTTAAATTCAGGAAGTTTAGAAATTTATCAATAAATATAAACTGCAATAATAGCGGAAATACAATTGAGATATGTTGACATAATTATTATTTTGTTGTGTAACAACTTTTGATATAAATTACATAGAATATTAATGTTAAACTTGTGGCAACGTATTTTTTAATTTTTTCTTAAATTTTCATTTATTTTGTTTAACTTTATTTACTTAATTGTCTCTACTTACTGTTATAATAAAAATTAAAAATAAAATAAGAATAAAAATAATAAAAATTTTTATAATAAAAATAAAAATAAAATAAGAATTTAAAACGTTTAAAAAAATTTTTAATGTATTTATTTTGAGGTCATTTCATCGTTATTTATTTTATCTATTATCGTGCTTATATATCGTAAAATATGAGTGTTTACTGTTTCTTTTTAAATTAAATTTTTCACATACATAGAAATCTCTTAACAAGTAAAGAAAAAAATATCTCGCACGTTTTGATTATTCAATTAATATTACATAATATGAGATAATAATGAAACATAATTCTTCTGATGTAATATTATCGAGCTATCTTGAATGAAAAAACATATTATTCATGCAAGCATAACAAGCGGTCATGCAACAACACACTACGGTTTTTTTTATTGCTGCAAGTCATGTACTGAAAAATTTTATATTTAAGAGGATATTTTATATTTAATTGCAATTAACATCACAAATAACATATCGAATTAAAATCACGTGTTGAATTCAAGATCAAGGCTTGAATTTGTATCAAGAGTTGTATTAAAAATATAACAATCAATAAGAATCTTTTCACAAAGATCTTTAATACCTTGTCAAGGTAATTTCTATTTAATTGTAAGAAATAAATGCAAGTTTGATAAGCAAGTTTATTTAATGTATCGCCGTAATATTGTTCTGCATCAGTAATGTCACAATTTTACTTACATAAGCATAAATCGCAAAACAAGCATTAATTAATTACAAAAAATAATTCTTTGAATAACGTAAAATATACATAGACAGGGCTATTTGTTGCCAAAAAAGCTCTTGTAGCTTATCTTGTCAAAACACTATAATAAAATATTTTTTTATCGAATACTTTTCGAATTATGAGGCTTGAAATAATTTCTTGATTTTTACATAAATCATAAAATATCTAGTAAAATATTTATTTTTCGATTATCTTACCCTAATACTTTTGTGTACAAAATAATGAGAGGAATCAATTGATGTAAAGAAAACACATAATTGTTTCGAAAAAAGAATGTAATTGTTAATTGCAAATCACATATTTTTTCTATTCACTTTGATTGTGAATCTCTATCAATCTCTTCAAAACGCCTCATTTGTTGGGATCGTGAAGCCTTTGCTCGCGATAAGTTTCGTTTCGACGCAAATGCACAGAAATGAGTCAAAGTCACGACGAATTAATGAGTGTTTTTTTCTTAAAGCCGCCGCAACCCGCAGCCGCCTGGAATGGTGTGCGAGCGGCTGTGGAAAACGCCGAGATATGCACGCAACGGAATATTTATACGTATCAGGAGGAGATCGTTGGCAGCGAGGATTGCCTTTACCTAAACGTCTACACGCCGCGACTTCCGCACTTCGGAGCGCCATTGTCCATCGATTCCCACCGATATCCGGTTATGATCTGGTTTCACGGTGGCGGATGGGTCACCGGTGCCGGTCATTCCGAATTTTACGGGCCCAAGTTTCTGCTGGATCACGATCTCGTCCTTGTCACCGTAAACTTCCGGTGAAGTTCCAATCTCGATTCCTCGATCGCGATTGAATTAATTTCTTACGCGCGGAATTGTAATCTTATATCAGAAAAAAATATTACGTAACTATGCAAAATTATGAAATAATTAATTGCAAATTATTATTACTTAATTGTGCAAAAGTATAACGCATAGATGATATGTTGATGACGAACTACTTTTTTAATTAGTTTGTTTTTTGTAATTAAAGGGGAAGGAGTTGTCACAAAAAAGTTATTACACAGTTTTATAGTTCTAGAAAATTAATTTTTAATTACATAAGTATTGGAAGCGTTAAAAACGTGTAGACTTCTTGCATTAGACTGGGACCATTGGGTTTCCTAAGCACGGAGGATCTAGAATGCCCGGGGAATTTTGGATTGAAGGATCAACAGCAAGCCATGCGATGGGTGCAGGAGAATATCGTTTCCTTCGGTGGTGATCCGAACAGAGTGACTCTTTTCGGCGAAAGCGCAGGAGGCGCGAGTGCTCATTATCATATGGTCAGCCCTCTCTCAAAAGGTAAGATCTCTGGCAAAATCTTCTTATAATAAATTACATTAATATCTATATAAAATTTATAAGTTATCTATATCGATAAAATACTTTTTTTCATTCCCTTTCTCTCTTGCTTCTTTATTCTTTTTAATTTTTCTCTACAATGTTTAAGTAATATTTATCTTTTAATATATTATATATTCTTTTCTTAATTATATAATATGCTTCACATTTTAACTTTTTTGTAAGATTTATTTTTAAAACGTTTTTTTTTATATTTTATATTTCATTTATTTTGTTTTATGTTTTATATTTTTTTTTAATTAGATATAATAAACTACACACACACATACACACACACATACATATATATAATTTAATAAATATAAATTTTTTTTAAGAAGAAATATATATATATAATTTGAATATTTTAAAGAACTAAATCATGATGAGATAAGAAAGATTGGGAGATAAAATCAAAGTATTAGCATGCACTTTAAATGAATAAAAGGAGGGAATAGATAATTAGTTACACTTCTTGCATACCATATTAATTAGTTTAATTTGCGTTATTTACTTCGAAAAACATCTCGATTGAGGCGTGAAAATTTTTTCTCATATGACATAACAATATATATACATATAATGTATCGATACAATCTTATTGCGAAAATTGATTTCCGATTCTGCATTTTATCAGGCGCGACTTCAACGTTAAAATATTCTTAATATCGTTGTCACATAAATTTCGATTTATAGCATAACTCAAGATCGCATTTTTTCCAAGAATATACGAGGAAATATCATATTTTATACTTGCGCTTTTTTCTTACAAGTCGTCAATATTGCTTAACATTAGCATCAACATTGCTTGACATTAGCAAATCTCGAACCTGTTTCAAGGACGACTGCATTACATCATCGTTTTTTCTATTTATCGTAGGAAACAAAAAAGATATTTAACGCAAATTAAAAAACTTTATATTGTATAATATGTAAAATATTGTATAATATGTTATTGTTATTACACATTTTCCCAACAGCATTACTGAAAACTATTAATGTTGAAAAAATGTATGCGTCTTATGAATTCAAAGGTGATTGAACCGCACATATAAAAAATATGTATTATTTAAAAAGAAACAAGAAACGAAACAAAAATAAAATTTAATGTATTAAGAAAATTAATATATATATATATATATATATATATATATATATATATATATATAAAATAATATATTAAAGGTAATAAAATGAAAATAAAATTGAAAAATATTAATTTAAAATTATATATATATATAAAATATATATATATAAAATTATATATAATAATTAAAATTTTAGAAAAGAATTTAATTCAACTTTTATGACAACAATATAAACGTTCAATGATGCTTTCAGGAACATTTATTTGTGTATTTTATTGTGTAATTCTTTTCTCGAAAATTTAATTATAAGAAAAAATTTTTAAATTTATATATATATATATATATATATATATATATATATATATATAAATTTAAAAATTTTTTCTTATAATTAAATTTTCGAGAAAAGAATTACACAATAAAATACACAAATAAATGTTCCTGAAAGCATCATTGAACGTTTATATTGTTGTCATAAAAGTTGAATTAAATTCTTTTCTAAAATTTTAATTATTTTTGTTAGAGAGAAAGAATTATCATTATACGTAATATGCAATGTATTATGCAATCAAGTATATGTGTGATCTGCAGTTTCTAGCAGAAATATATTCTGACTAGTGCAATATATTTTTATGAAATACGAAATGTTTACATTTTTTTGTAACACGCAGGTCTTTTTCACCGAGCTATCTCGCAAAGCGGTAACTTTTACAATCCATGGACTTTAACGCCACCGAGATCTGCCCGGAAGAAGGCCATGATTATGGGTAGAAATTTAGGGTGTAACACCGAAAATTCCGCAGAACTCATCAAATGTCTGCGAACAAAAACCGATACGGAAATTATTGGTACCGATCGTCTTTTCCAGGTAATTAAAAATTAATTCATATAAGTATAAATGAAATAAATATTTTTTGATAAATTTATCTCTGATAGTAACATTTCAATTAATATACGATATATAATGTTCTCCAAATAATAGTTTTTTGTTATAAAATTACATACATACAATATATATATATATATATATATATATATATATTTATATATATTTATATATTTTTTAACAAAATATATATATATATATATATATATATATATATATTGTTAAAAATATATATAAATAAAACCAGTTACCGTAAATTTTAAAATTAAAATTAATCGAGGCAATTAATGTGTACGAAAGCGGATGATTAAATGATAAAAAAATCTTTTAAATTACAATTATAGATTATTTTATTATGTTCGAACAAAAAATTTGATTATACTTCTAATTTACTGCGGTTTTGTGAAAATTGAATGATATTAATGTCATCTTATTCATCAAATCTCGAAAAAAATATAATTGATTTCAATTCTGTATGTTAAATAAATTAACATAATTTATTTTTATAAATTAATTTCTCTGTTTATTTCTCAGGTCTTGTATTTTTCACATAAATATATCTTAGAATGTGAGTGTAACATTTAATGGAATGCAATAAATGTATAACATATTCAATCAATTGCTGGTATTTAATCTGAATATTTTATATTTCAACGACTTCTTGTTACATAATTTCTCTGTGTCGTTTTGACAGCTATCCGAAGGCATTCATTTAGCTGTCAATCGTGCGTGCATGTGTATATCGCTTGTCGCACGTTGCATTGCATAAAATTTATAAATATTTTCTCTTTTATAAATCTAATAATATATATATATATATATATATATATATTAATTTATAAAAGAAAATATTTATAAATTTTATGCAATGCACGTGCGACAAGCGATATACAATGCACGCACGATACAGCTAATGAAGCTTCGATAGCTGTCAAAAACAAAAAAATTATGTAAAGACGTTGAATATAAATATCAGATTAAATACCAGCAATTAGAAATATACATTTATTGCATTCCATAATTACACCAATCTAAATATATTTAGTGAAATAAAAGAGAAATAAAAAAAAAAAAAAAAAAATTAAATAAATACAGAATTGAAATCAATTATATTTTTTCGAGATTTGATGAATAAGATGACATAATATCATTCAATTTCACAAAACGAGTAATTAGAAGTATAATCAATTTTGTTAACATAAAATATCTATAATTGTAATTAAAGATTTTATCAATATTATATATATCTTTTAAGTAAAGATTACGTCAGAGAATAATAATAATTGACAATTTAAATCAGATTTCGTTAGAATAATAAAATTAATAATTTAAATAAAATTATATTATAAATAATAAATATATATATATATATATATATATATATATATGGATCACATTTATTATTTATAATATAATTTTATTTAAATTATTAATTTTATTATTCTAACGAAATCTAATTTAAATTGTCAATTATTATTATTCTCTGACGTAATTTTTACTTAAAAGATGATTAGGCGCATAAATCGAGTCTGACCAGCAATATTCGCATTTTGTACGCGTGAAATGTTTGCTGAGAATGATTTATGCGCATTCATGCGTTAAAAGCGTAACTAACCATGAGCTCTATATCTCTGCGCGTGCATCAGTTTCAGAAATTATATATGCTTACAAAATATCGATATGGTTGAATAACAATGATCCTTTGGACAGTTACGCAAAGTGGCTTTATCCCAGTTTGAAATCGACACATTCCGATGCAAAATTCAGATGAAATCGAAAAAATTGATTACGATAAGAGACTGTACATATTTTCGGATGTTTATTTTCTTAAAAATGAGAAATTGATATTTTATAGTTATATATGTCAATCAATGTATAGAACAACAAATACATTTTCCTGACAATCGTTTGCAATGTAACAAATATTACTTGTTTGTTGATTATTTATTTAATAATGACATAGAAATTTTTCCAAGATTATTTTCTTACACATATTTCACGTGATATGTTTCGCGTGCGAGTAAAGATAATATATTATTCAAATGCGAGAGAGAGATATATACTGGATAAATATATTTAAAGTTCTGGCGATGCGGGAAATCAGTTTAGAGAAACGCGCATGTTGATTTGCATACGTGCATGTTTTCCGTATGTTGCTGGCATTTTTATTCACACCTGAATCACGTGTTACTGTTGGCTGAAATAAAGAAAAACAAGTCGCAAGGGAATAATAAACACGAAAAATCATCTATAACGTTATCGTGATGGCTAATTATCCATAAGAGAAAATTTTCCTAATCTTTTTCCAAATGCGTTATTTTACATATTTTATCAACTATTCACATGTTTAGATAAATTTAATTGATTTAATAAACGCGATACACACATTACAGATTACTACGAATTAAAGACCTGTTCAATATTTTTAAACTTGACTTAATTTTGCTTTTTATTCATATTTAATAAAACTTGTTTATCTCTGATTTCCTCTCTTTCTGTTTAGAACTTTCTGTTAATCAATCTTTTTAATCACGTTACACTTTTTTACTGTCAAAGTATTACTTGCTTTTCTATAAAACATATGCTATTATTCTAAATAAATTTTCTATAATTATTTTAATTTAATTATCTGTGTTCTATGTCGCAGCATTATGGTTATTGTCCAATGATACCCTTCAAACCAGTAATCGAGCCTAAACACGTAGGTGCTCTTTTGACGGAAGATCCATTAATTTCCGTGCGACAAGGTCGTTTAGCTGATATACCTTGGATGACGGGAATAACATCTGAAGAAGGAACACTTAAAGTAGCAGGTGAAAGAGTAATAGTCTCCAATCTATATCGCAAAAATCAAGAAAAAACGTGACATTATTATTTTAAAATTAGAGATTATTATTTTAGAATTAAGAATTATTATTTCGGAATCCGAGTAGAATAAAATAATTATTCTCAGAAATATTTAGAAAATTTTAAAAATAATTTTTAGGACAAGAGAAGAGAAGAATTGCTTGCTTACATAAAGCTTTATAAAGGTATTGGCTTTAGATCTCATAAAATCCATTATCCGCTTCTACATAGATATGTAAATGCAGTTTTAGATATAACTTTCTTAATCACAATTTATTATACATTAATTAATTAAATCTGCTTGACACAAGCATTATGAAATTTCGCATAAAAAATGATATTTTATGATATAAAATTGTTTTTAATTAAACAAGCAATAGAAGAGAATACTTATATATGTTAATGTTATAGGTATCTACGGACGAGATCAGAACGAACATGTGAAGAAATTGAATAATGATTTCCACAATGTTGCACCTCTCAGCTTGTTTTACGAAGAGCGATATGATCTTCGAGATACGCAATTTCGAGATGAGATGAGCACTAATATCCGTGAATTTTATTTCGGCAATAAAGACATCGATCAATCTGAGGAAACTAGATTTAAAGTCATTGATGTAAGTCCAAATAATTAAATAATGAATAATATAAAGAATTGAAGGAAGGAATAGAGTTTTTTATTAATTAAATAACGATTTTGACATCTATAGAAAATAAAAAAATATGTATATCTGATTTAATCTGTCTAATAAAAAGAAAATGCTTTAAACTAAAATTTAGAAAATTAAAATTGCTATTAAATTTTTTATTACGGTTTTGCTTCTTGATATATTTTAATCGACAGTTTATTTGATGAAAATTTCGGATAGGTAGCGCCTCGACATATCGAAAGCAGAGACTTTCAATTATCGAGTCCAGTTCTTTAATTCTCTATTAATCTAATGGCTCATTAATGTGCCTTTGCAGATGTATAGCGACGCGTGGTTTAATCACGGTACTCACGAAGCTGTTCAAGAATTTATTGCGAATCAAACTTCACCGATTTATTACTACTATTTCACGTACAGAGGAAGCGCGTCTTTCAGTACAATATTCGGTGATACCGAGAAAAATTATGGAGTATCGCACGCGGATGAGCTGCAGTATTTATTCCCCGTGGGTGAACAATTGTTCAAGGATACGGAGTTGTCTAATGAGGATCATAAGATAATCGATATCATGACCCAACTATGGTACAATTTCGCAAATTCCGGGTAAGTGTTAATATTTTTAGCAAAGATAGGATTTATATTATTAAATAAAACAAGATATCACGATTGATTTCGTATAATATATCTATTAAAATTTACATCATAATAAAATTTCATTATTTCTAACATCAGAACGCATGTATATATATACACGGTGGGCCATTTTAATCGATGCACTCGAATATCTCGAAAACAGCACTCTTCAGAAAGAAATGTTTCAAACAAAAATTGTAGGGTGTGAAGGAGGACATAAGATGGTATCATTGGTTTGACCTTGGAAAGTCATTTGAAGGTCACATAAAAGTCACCTTCAATTTCTTAAATTGAACCCACTATTTTTCATTACATATTCTTGTAGCTTATCTCGAGAGCTTTCCAAAACACTACAGACAAATGTTTTTTCATTAAGTACTTTTTGAGTTATAAGGTTTCAAAGTTTGCAGTACTTCGATATAAAATGCAAAATATCTCGTAAAATATTTAGTTTTCGGTAGTCTTACCCTAATACTTTTATGCACAGGATAATGAGACAAAACTATTGGTGCAAAGAAAACGTATGATTGTTTATAATAAAAAATGTGTAATTTGCAATGCACTTTTTGTTGACTTTCCAAGGTCAAACCAATGCTACCATCTTATGTCCCCCTTCACACCCTACAATTTTTGTTTGAAACATTTCTTTCTGAAGAGTGCTGTTTTCGAGATATTCGAGTGCATCGATTAAAATGGCCCACCGTGTATATATATATATATATATATATATATATATATATATATATATATACATGGGACTGAAAAGATCAGTGCAATATATATATATATATATATATATATATATATACATGGGACTGAAAAGATCAGTGCAATAAAATTAATCTTCATCAGGATAATATTTGGATTAATAATATACATTTTTTCAGCAATTTTATGTTATAATTATTATATATTAAATTATATTAAATATATTAAATTAATTAATGCTATAATTATTATTATATGTATAATGGATTTATAATAAATTTTTCTTTTGACATACGTTGAAATAAAAAAGATGCATCAATAAAACACATAATGTAATAAAAATAACTTTTAGAAATCCGACGCCAAAGGTTACAAAGTTAATTCCCTTGAAGTGGAAACCGGTGAAAACAAGTTCTTCACCGGAGTATCTATATATAGGAAATTCGACTAAGATAATTATGGATAGTAATCTTCTCTCCAAGAGAATGACATTCTGGGATGAGCTAACACATCGAATGAAGTTCCATGGTGCGGATATAAGGAATTTTAAGGACGAGTTGTAATTTTCAATTTTATTACTCGCATACATTTTTATATATCGTACAAAAAGATTCTTCATTTGATTGTAAAAAATCCAAAGCTGAGATCTCTTAAGAAGTCTTAAAAACTGATTTTGAAAAATTATTTTTAAATCTCTTTTTGCTGGAAAATTCATTCAATTAAATTTCAATTAAAACTTTATAAACTACTTAGGAATTTTATTATAAAATTTTATTTTAAAATTATTTTAAATACATATTTCATAAGATATGAAATCGCATAATGTGTTTGCAAAGTTTATTCTTTCTATTTTTTAAGCCTGAACGTTTTTTTATTATTAACAATGCATATTTTTATCATATGAGTACATAAAATAGAATATTTAAGTAATTTTTATAATCTTTTTTAAATAATTTCTTAAAAACAATTGCGAAATAAGTACATGCTTTGGTATTTTAATTTTTACAATAACAATATTAATTAATCTAAAATTATTAATTATTCCTTTTTATATAATAAAAGAAGTAAAATTTAATAGAATACATGACAAATATTAAAATACACAAATTGTATAATATTATTTGTAAGTATAATATTATTTTTGTTAGAATTCCATGAACACTAAGATAATATATCTATAATAAATAGAAAGAAGATATAATATTTATAGATAATCAGTCCTCTTGTGTCCATCACATTTTTTTATATTACACGTTTATACATAGACAACCACATATATATTTAATTAATAATTAATTTATATTATGTCAGTTCGAATAACATACTAAACGTGTGACATATAAGCTTTTTGATAATCTTAATATAAATTTAATTTTTAATGCATTTTCTATTAAAAATAAATTACAAATTTTGAAATATTTGATAACACATCATTAATATCTTGTGTGCTGCAAGCACGATTTGTGATATCAAAACAAAACTTCTTAAAAGTCTTCGAATTAAGAGAATAAATTACTTTTTTACATAAAAAGTCTTTCTATTAATTAGAAGAATTAAAATACATAATTTGTAAATTTTTATTGAACTTAATCTGACAACAAACTTTTAAACTCTCTTCTTAAATTCTAAATTCGATAAAGCAATGTTAAGTCAATCAAAAAACCAAATCAATCTATTGTATCTAATTCAATACAAAACTTCTGATATTTTATTTTAATCTACTTCTCTATTTCAATTTTAATTTATATATCATCTGCTTGTTCATTTTTTTATCTTTTTCTTCTAAAACTATTATCAAAAAATTGTCAAAAAATATTGTGAAAGATTATTTTACCATCACTACGCCACTATAGTTAGAACTATGACTGTCCTTTTCTATTTTCTTCTAATTCTTTTTTGTATATTTTTAAACAGAATAAATAAATAAAAATACAGAAATTGTTTATATATTAAAGACAAATATGTATATGAATTACATTTCATTATGTATTGCTGGTTAGATGGTACATCCACTCTTCTATAAGAATATCTTCCAAGCTTTTTGCTAAATATCGAAATGTAAACAACTGAATCTTTATTTGAATCTGACGTAGTTCTAATTTGAGCTTAACGTTTGTTATATTTTCCTTATACTCATGCAAATATTTATTTACCTAAAACAAATTATTTTAACATTTATTTTCAACAATAATTGTTTTTTGTACAATAAATATCTTCTACAATTTCTGGCTGTTAGCATAATTAAGATAAGATAGTAGTGATACATTTATGTATAAAGATAAATAAACTTAATAAGAAATTAATAACTAAATATATCTGACAATGAGCTTATAAATCTCAACATTTTTTTTGATCACCATAATCACGATTAATCGACGATTAATCAGAGGGCGCACTTCTTGAAATCAATTTCTACGTTTATTTAAAATAATATTTTTTAGATTAAAATGTAAGTAATAATTTTTTATCTGGTAATATAGTAAAAATTGTTATGATATAACTTGTCTTTAATGTAACTACTGTTATTGTTACGAAATTTTTATCCGAAAAGACTTTGATTTGACTTTTGGGTTGATGTAAGAACAGATCATCAAATTAAATTAAAATATTTTTTCGAGTAGTATTGTACAATAGTTGTCGATACATTATTATACAGGCTGTCTGAAAACTTTGCGCAATTCCGAAGTGTTAAGGTAGATTGGCTCAAATTAAGAAGAAAGAACTCTACTGTTTTGCGATATTCGCAATAATTGATGAAAAATTAATTAAAGAGAATCTGTGTGAGTAGAAGCGCGCGACTAAGCAGTGAGTGAGGAAGGAATGAGTCCGGACCTCACAGAAAAGATTGCACAGACACTGTATATGTACATGTATATGTGTATGTATACTGATAAATAAATTTGAAGGAATTGACAAACAATTATATATATAAATATATATATATATATATATATATATATATATATATTTCTAAGCAAGTATGTGTATCCGCTTTGTAAATTTTTATATGCATGTAAATTCATAAAATTTACCTTGTCAATTTGTTCGTTAGAATATATATGATTAATAATTATGGTTAATGCTGTAGTAATACTCATTTCCCTATAAAAACAAAATAATATATAATAGATTTATATAACATAGTTCAATAAAATTTGATATTTTGTAAATAGTAATTTCCGATGTATTTTGTAAATAGTCATTTCCGATGTATTTTTGCTTGAGGAGCACGATTTTCAAATCCGGTTATTACATCATCAGATTTAAGGAAAATCGCGTCAAAAAGCTCAAATCGACGAATTCAAATGTTCTCATGACACAAACAAATGTATTTGAAATCTGAAAGTTTACTGTTGCATGGCATTTTAACGAAATTTAACCAAAAAATTTGGTATCAATGTACAGGGTGTTTCTGCAACATAATACACATAATTAAGTCGGAATACCCATCGACAAGGGTATACCTTATTAGACTCGCTGAATAAGATTAGAATGCGAGTTTGACGAAGAGTAAAGAAAGGGAAATCTTATCATTTTATTATAGTAAATAATTGCGAAATTTAATAATATAGATAAAATATATATTTAATAATATATATTATATATTAATATGTAATATATTTTTAATAATATAGATAAAATATTCAAGTTTAATATATAATTTGACAAATTTCTTTAATACACACATTATAACATTTAATTATAATATTTAATAATAAATATTAATATATATTAACATATATTAATTATGTAAATTTAACAAATAAATTTGAACAAATATAGTAAAAGTATAATAAACAAATATAATAAAATATACTTATAATGACAAATATTTTTGATCTTTAAATATAATAAATTATAATAAATGTTTAATATAACCACCATCTTCTTTTAAACATAAAACAATTCTGAGCATAAAATTTTCTTTCACGCGACTTATCATGAGAGAAGTGATCTCCGCACGCGTTACGAATTCTATTTTTAAGAATTTCTGCATTTTCCGGTAGGATGTGACATATTTTATTTTTTAAGATATTCTACATAAAAAAGTCCATAGGCATAAGATCCATGGACAGAGATTACTCTTCTGATGAAACAAGTGAAAAACATTTTCAGCAGGATTGCTCTATGTTTAGAAGAAAAAAGTGATTATATCGAGTTTCTATAATTTATTATATTTGAAAATCAAATATATTTTTCATTATAAATATTTTTCATTATATTTGTCCAAATTTGTTTATTAAATTTTATTTATGTCATTTTATCTATTAAATTTTATTTATGTCATTTTATCTATCATTATTTGATTTATTATTAGATAAATATTTTATATATATTATTAAATTTCAGAATTGTTCATTATAATAGAGTAACAAAAACAGATTCCTTTTTCCTTATTTCCATTATCATATTCTGCGAGTCCAGTAAAACATGTCCCTGAGTGGGCAGATAGGCAACCCGACTTAATGATGTGTATGTTGTGGAAACACCCTGTACACGATCATACAATGTCCTGAAAATCATCAAAATCGTCGTTTCAGCCTTCTTGATTTTTCAAAATTGTGACGTGATAGCCAAATTTGAACAATAGATTCGTGTTCACCAGGAAAAAATACATTGACAATGAATATTCATACATGTTTTACAAAAATAATGTTGACTAGTGTAATTAGCAAATAAAGCGAATCAATCTTGAAGTGTAAGTATATACTGTATATACTTATAAAAAGTAGTGCCATTTTACCAAGGTTTTATATCTTCCAAATTGTTTAATATTATATTAAGCATTAAATCATTCTTTGCATGCCTAGCAATAATATAACAAAAACTTTCTATATGGTGGAGATCTTCTATTTTTCTCACAACAGTGCCAAATTTCATTAAATGCATATACTTTTCAATAATAACAGATTTTGTGGAACAAGTTAAGAACTTTAAAACACTATCATCAGATTCTGTCCAATACATAAGAAATACTTTTTTCCAAATATATTTATTCCCTTCCTTCAAACCATTACAGAATGTCCATTCTTTCCATTCCGGCCAAATTCTACAATATTTAAAATAAAATAAAAATATATTATTAGAATTCATAATCTTACATCTTGATATTACATAAATATTTCACAAAACAAAATGTTTTTATAAAATGATCGCGATTGAAAAATAATTGTAAAGTGTAATTACTTATATGATGATAATGTGTTACGATAGGAGAGATACGATTTCAATTCAACATTAGAAATTGTTAAACAAGAATGATAATTCATGATGCATAACCATTTTGCAGCCTCTTGCCTCAAACATTTAATAAAAATGTTACCATAATTGTTCTCGTCTTCATCAAAAGTGGGATATTCTAATTCCCATAAAATCTCTTTCATGAATTGTACTATTTCCGCCTACAAATTGTAAAATAGTGTATAAAAATTTATTTCTATACTTACTTATAGTTATATAATTATATATTTATGTATATATTATAAAAAAATTATAAAAGTTTGTGGGCACGTATATGCTATTTAAAAAGCTATGCCAATAATATAATAATGTTTTTATAAGATTAAAAAGATAATAATAAATGCGAGATTATAGTACACTTAATTAATATAATTTGATATTAATTATTATTCATCTTAGCAGTAAACAAATTATTGCATGAAAATTTAAAAGCGGATGTTGTTTCGTGTAAAGTTAGACATTGTGTATACTCATTATATTTCATCAAAAGTAATTTTAAAATATAAATATATGTTGTTAAAATATACATATATAAATTATTTAAATACACGTTTTTTTACTTACATAAACGTTAATGTTATTTATACCTTTATAAATGCGCTTTCTGGAAATGCAAAGAAACCCGACATATATTCCAAGTTTTTGAACATAGGATACCATGAGATATAATCTGTATCTCGCGATAGATAGTGTGAAATATTCAGGAATACAGTATAATTTAATCGGCCTGTCATCAGAAAATGAAATGTGTCGTCGGTAAGTTTAGCACGATCGAGGACAGGTATTTTTTCAAAAGAGGAATTCAGGTAGTTCGAAAGTCTATTCCAATTCTCGGCATCATAATAGACGCGATAGCATCCTGTCGAATGTTAAATAAATTATATCAGTGAACTAATTTAAATTTGTTATTAAATTTTGTTCGAGTAATAATTTGAACCTTTAACTCCTTTTATTCAAAGCGTATAAAAAAATGTATTAGAAATTGTGTATTAAAAATTTTGATACAAGATTTTATAAATACTTATTAAAAATAACTTATTACAAAAAGGAAATTATAGATTTTCAAAATTAAATTATATTACGCTGATAAATCAATATACTAAGAAAGCTATACAAAGAGTGTTATGTCAACTTAAATATATTTTAACTACATTCATGAAAATCAATAATGATAATCAAATTATATTATACATTTCGGTGTGTGTAACATATTAATGTATGTATAATCTATAAAACGTGTATAAAGTTTTATTCTAACAGTATAATATGTACATATAATTTATCAAATATAAATAATCAGATAATAAAATATAAATTTTATGCATATATATGTAAACAAATTGGCGATATAATCAATAATAAATTAACTATTGTTATAATTAAATTATACAATAATTTAATTAAATAAATTAAAAGGAATTAGGCTCTATATGTAAACAACACAATAAGAAACTAGCGAATAAGAACCGCGGATGATAATGCGTAAATTTTAATTGTTCGCGAAAATTTAAACGTGCACGAGGCATATGTTTTACTTAGTGCATTCATCAAGATATAGATTCTCATTTTTGAGAATTCTGTAAACCTTTTTTACCCCCCTGAAGAAATGTAGACGAGAAAAATATCAGGACGAAGTCGCTGAATCGGGAATCGTAAAAATTGTGGGGCTGAATAGCTCACAATCAGTGGTAAGAGCAGTCGCCCGGCAAGCGAAAGACTCGGGTTCGATTCTCAATTCAGCGACTTCGCCCCGATATATTTCTTGTCTACATCTCTTCAGGGGGGTAAAGGGGGTTTATAGAATTCTCAAAAATGAGAATCTATATCTTGGTAAATGCACCAAGTAAAACATATGCCTTGTGCACTATTTAAATTTTCGCGAAAAATTAAAATTTACTCATTACCATCCGCGGTGACTCTTATTCGATAGTTTCTTATCGTGTTGTTTAAATAATTAAATTATTAGATATTAAGTAACTATAATTATTGTTGGATTCTTTTAAGGAAAATGTTCTATTTCTAACTAATATATTGGCGGAAAAAATTTATATATTATTTCTATAAGTTAAATAACATATTGTGAATTATCTATGGTTAACATTCATATAGTAATAACTTAAAAACAGGTATTTTGGAAAAAAATGTTTCAAATAAAAGTTATAGAGTTTGCAGGGAAAAAAAAGATAAGAATATTAGTTAGTTGGACTTTGAATGTTGGTGTCAAGGTTAATTTAGTTTTTATTTAAACAAAACTATCCTAATTTGTCTATTAAAATCAATTCCTCACAATATTCCTTTTAAAAAATTATAAGAATAGACAAAAATTAAATAATTTACGAGATATATCATACTTTGAGTTTACAAATTTTAAGTGAATCATGAAACATTACGTAAAATATTTATTTTTCGATTACCTTATTTTAATACTTTTATCCATAGAATAATAAGAGGAATCAACTGATATAAAAAAATCATGTAATTATTTTTATAAAAAAATAAATATGCAAAGAGCAGCTACATATATAAAGGAATTAGTAACAAATTTATCCATCAATATTTACCACTTTGTGAATTGACTAATACCCAGTCATTCTTGTTCGTAAAATCTAAATTTAATTTATAGGACATAGATTGAGATGATAACCACACTTCAGGCAAGAATTCATTCGAATAGGGATACGTCTGTGTAGTAATATTCACAAATATCCATGTAACAAAATAATTCAAATTTTCTACCGATATACTCAACCAATTATTATCATAATTTCTTTTCACATTAATCACAGGGTAATGATTTAGTTGTGTCCAACTAGCTATTCTATCCGTTACATTGTATTTGGTTTCCAAATCTGATTTATCCATGATTGATTGCATAACTTCCCAGAAATTCGTACTGCTTATATAGCTAAAAATCCAAATGAGTAAATGATAAGAAAATATTAATAAAAGAAGATATCTTAAGAAAAATCTTCAAAAGCAATTAAGATTTTTAAAGAACAAAGTAAAAGTGGAAGGGAAGAATGTAGTATAAATTATATCAAATAGAATTGGAACGATAAGAAAATTATTAATGATAGCAAAAAAGATAGAATAGAATAGTAATTAAAAAGATGAATGTGTCACAGAAAAGAAATAAATTATAAATAAAAAGAATTAAAAAATATCAGTAGATAACAAATGAGACAATTTGAAAAAAGCAAGAATTAAAAATGAAGATATAAATAAAGGAAGAAGTTAACAAAAATGGAAAGAAGGCGATAATTAAATTAGTGATATTAATAAGTAGAAACATAATAAAATGGGAAATAAAATTAACAAGAGAAAAATTAACAAAAAGTTACTAATAATGAAATTGAAATTACTAATAAAAATTATAAAAAGTATAAGTAAAGTTGGAAACACAAAAAAAAATAAAGAAATAGGTAGTTTGAGAGATAAACATAAATAAAGAAAGTTTGAGAGATAAACATCAATAAAGAAAGTTTGAGAGATAAATATAAATAAATTTCAAAAATTAATAACTCAAGCAAAAAATAATTATAAAAAAAGCAAAATTGAAAATCATTTAAAATTGTGTATTTAAAATTAATATAACTATATAGAAATATATATATATATATATATATATATATATATATATATATTTTACTCACTGAACTCGTAAAAACCACGACATACCAGACAGAAACATCTCTTCGGTAAATATAATATGGAACGTGCGGAACATAATGCTTGCTATGAAAATTGACATCATAAAGTAAAATGTAGTATGTATAAAATAAATTTGCTATAGATTATTTGGATATACATATAAATTCATGAATGTAACTGATTTATAGATATGATAAATACAGGTTAACTTTAATATTATTTTTCTGGTAAACATTAATATTTATGTAAGCAATAATATAATTCAATTATTTTTTTTATTACAATGTTTTTTATATGTAGCATTTAGAAATTATCAAGAATAATTTATTTGCTTGATTACCCTTGATGTAACCAGGAATTTCAATAGAATTGTATCCTGATCCGAATGTGAGCGGCCATATATCCTTGGTATTCCAATGAAGAAACTCATGTTGCATTTGAACCACAAAGAAATCTTGTATCCGAAGAGCCGGAAATGTCTGGACGCAAAAGGATTTTAATATAATTAAATGTATATTTAATCAAAAGTGGTGCTAATATATTAGCAACACACATTAGAACTGTTTCAATATAATAAAAAAATTTACACACATTCGTTCATTGAATATCTCTCTTAAGTTCAAAAATATATTCCAGTAATGATATTTATAAGTATCTAAGGATAAGTATCTAAGGATAATTATATGATAAGTATATAATGAAAGTATCTAATGATATCATTTCAAATTAAGTATTTTTAAAGTTATGTAAAAGAATGTATGTCAAATACAAATTATAATATTTTAAATTAATTTAATTTAATATTGGCCATGTTGCTCAAGTTTTGGTTAATTATTGTTATAGAAATATAAGTATTTGTATATTAGCCCGAGTATGTGCGTGTGATTAAAATAATTGACTCTAAATATAAAATAACCTTATCGGCAGCGTAAATTCCAAAAAAAGTAGCAAAACCTTTGCTTAACCATGGTTCCCACATAGATGGATCCATTGCATTATAAAACCATTCGTGTATCACCTTATATCCTATTACTCGGGTTATATCAATTTTGCGTATCTCAGAATTTGTCCTTTGATCAAAGATAATATCTTCTTCTCTAAAAATAATTCGCAAATATTACAATAAAGTCGTGAACCCTAACCTTACGTTAGCGATTGCTAACATAAGAGTGTTTGTACAATCACTAGACACGCTATTGAGAGAATCAATGTTAAATATAATTAGTTATATAAGATATTAATTATATTTCATAATCAATTCGTGTGTTCATCAACTTTTATGACTGCGACATCTTTCAGAATACAGTTAAAAAGTTGCGAAAGAAAAAAAATAATAAAAAATATTTTATATATGTTTCAATTACATATACACATATAGATATCCAATTTTATAATATTGAATATATTGAGAAAAAATATTAAGTTTTAATATAGAAATTTTTTTTTAAATCAAAATATGTTTACCCATAAAGAACGAATCCGAACTTTATATTTTCTTTAGTTAATAAGTAATGAAAATTCGGAATCACGACATGATTTATTTCCGGACTTTCCCTGATATACGGAAACATCTTGTCTAAGAATTGCGTAATATTTGTAGCAACTGTGGATGCAAATTGCACATGTGATATTATGCCTGTTCTGCACCACAATTTAGTAATCCGACTTCCTGGAATAAAGGCGAGATGAACTACACTAGCCGTTATGAAATAAACGGGCATCATGGGAGTAGGTTTGAAGCGTGTCCATTGCATATTATTTTCATCCATATTTATTTCTTGGACGGGCATATTTGATAAAGCTGTGTAGTTTTTATGATGCTTTATAGAAATGTTATAATTAGCATACAGAGTATCATTCAAAACTGGAAATAATCTTCGAGTCGCAAATGTGTTATAATGTGTTGCAGCCAACCACCTAGCACATATAACAATATATTTTAAATAACAAAATATTTTCAGATACTGCTAAAGTATCAGAAATTAAAAAGAAGGAAAAATGAAAAGTATACAAATGTATATTAAGACTTTTAAAAATACTGTTAAAAGAATGACATATATATGTATATTATATTACAATTTTATATTATATTTATTTATTATGTTATATATGCATATATATATATGCGTCATAAAAATTGTCTGTAACATCTATAATAAATGCATATAAAATATATTCACAATATATTCACAATATTCTTTAAAATATGCATTTATAAGATAATAAATATGTGAAGATGATGATAACACAATAGCATACTTTTTAATATTTATGATTTTGTCATTCATGTATGGTCAATATCTGTCTTGTATTAAAAAGATTTTGACAATAGGAATGTTCTATATACTTGTAATACAAAAAAGTTTTTTCATGAATTAATTACTTATAGGAATATTTTCCGTAAACTATAAGAGAACTATATTTAAATAATAAATTATGAAATCATATACATATATTAAAACTACGTCATCATAGTAATAATAATAATACGAACAGTTTGCAAAAATTATAGCAAGAATGTTATTTGTAGCGCCTAAGTTATTTATCGCTTTAAACTACTTACATTGTTTCATTTTGTTCATTTTTGTAAATTCTAAATCCTCCATTTTCGGTTGAACGACCAGAAAATTTTATATTCAAAGTGTAATTTCCTGATGATAAATTATACGGAAAAGAAATGGCGGTTATATACGTTTCAGTGTCATAGATATATTTCTTCGGCCTATGGGTGAAAACTTTTTTCTCATTTCCTTCAGGTATTTGTGTATTGTTTGTTACGATAGCTTTAATTATAAACAAATTTTCTGTAGAAAAATATATATCTTGCATTTCATGAGAAATATAAATGCTGGTATTGTATTCGCCGTGGAAGATACTGGCATTGATATATAGTACAAAATGAATATTATAATGTGGTGGGTAGAAAAATGCATCAATAAAAGGAGCCGCTGCGACAATGAATATTATACCATAACTCAATACTTTTAGGAATGCCATGTCACACATTTTCTCTCTCTCTATCTCCCTCTCTCTTTCTCATTTGCCTTGAATAAGCACCTTTTTTCTTGAAAAAAGAAACAAATATAAAATACACACACACACACACACACACACACACACACACACACACACACACACACACACACACACACACACATATATATATATATAAAGTAAAGAGAATTTGCTTTAATTATTATTACTTTTGTTACGTATAAAAAGAGATTAAGTAAAAAATATTTATCACATATAATATAATAATATTCATCATATAAATAATTATCATTTTTTGTTAATAATATATTGCCTTAGGATGAATAGATTATAATATTTTAATATATATTTTAGCAAATACATTAATTTAAAATATAAATATATTAATATATTAATTTAATAAGTTTTATCACGCTTATATAATTAATAAAAGATTCCTTTATTAAACGTTTGATTTTATATTAAATTAAGTTTTTATTTTAAAAGTAATAATATAACATATGTTTCAAATTAAAATTCTATCTCTCTTTAATAATTTTGAGATGGACTGGCACTTTTGACAAAAAGAATGATACTTGTTCTGTGTGATTGTACTTTAAAATTATTTCAATTGTCCTCAACGTATATAATGTACACATTTTATTTATCTTTAAAACTGTTATGTATCTTCTTTTATGATAACTCACCTCTCGTGTATTATAGTTATCTGCCGATGAGGAATTAATTTTTTGATAATAATTAAGTGTAATTAGTTTATTGATACATATTATAAATATTATTAATATCGACAAATTACATATACATATTATTAATATAATAAATGTCGATAAAAATATATCTGTATCAACTTGATGTTTTGGGAAACTACAGAGAAATAACAATGTTCAATATCTGAAATCATAATAAACATGTCATTAAAACGATTTTTAAAATCAAAGTAGTGTGAAATTGGGTTTAAACGCTTTATTAATTAAGAAATAATAAAGTGTGAATATTTGATTAAATTATCTCTCGCATTATATTTGATTTTGAAGTAATTATTTCTGATAAACATGTTAAAGCAATCGAGAAATTGTATTTCATATTTTCATTTTCTCTCTTCTAAGTAAATAATTGATCTCCATTGTATCTTTATTTATTAAGATATTGTAGACTTTTTTACATTAAACATTTAATATTAATATTTTGTTCTTCCATCATATAAATAGAATGAAGGTTTTAAGGGAAAAACTCGACAGAAATGAATTTCGCAATATTATATGTCGTGTAATATATGTTACATAATGTCGTTTTTTGTATTATAATTAGTATTAAAACTTTATTCCAGTAAAAAGTGTATAAAAAATGATCTCGTTCTTAGATAATCAGTTTTCAAATTTATCAAGTTTTGACATATTATGTAAAAAATTTCTTTATTAAATGTTTGATTTTAAGTTAAATTGAATTTATTTTTAAGATAATAATACGTATATAATAATTTACATGCTTGTGAAATTAAACTCTTTTTCCTTTAATATCTTTAAAATCGATAGTTTTGTAAATATCGTTTCTTAGGAAAATACTAAATTTGTTATGTTTGTATGTTAAAATTATTTAAATTATTTAAATTATTTGTCCTCAACGTATATAATGTACATTTTTTTTAAACTGCTATGTATTCCGTTTTGTTATAACTTACCTTATATATTATGATGTCAGCTGATCAAAATTTAGTTCTTTATATTAGATAATAATTAAGTTGTAATTAACACTTTATTATCATAAATTATTAATATTGGAAATATACCTCGCTATATAACTTGATCTTGCTGTTCTGAAATACTATCGAGAAATGCCAACGTTTGACACGCGATATCATAATAAGCATGTTATGAAGACAATCTTGAAAATCTCAAAATAATATGTCAATTTAATACGTGCCATACCAGTCAGTAAGCAGAATAAAATGTCATATGATTAAATTAACTCTTGCTCTTTATATTTAATTTTAAAGTAATTTTGACATACGTTTTATAGCAATTAAAAAATTGTATATTTTTCTATACTCTCTATTCTCTCTATTCTCTCTATTCCCTCTATTTTCTCTCTTTTATTTTTTCTCAAACAATCCATTACTATTTGTGTCTTAATTTATTAGCCTTAGTTGTAGGTATATGGTACTCAATGTTCAAAATCAATATTTTTTTACTCTATAAATAGAATAAAAAACAAGTTTCGAAAAAGAAACTAGGTAGAAATAAATGTTGCAAATTATGTCGTAAAATATGTTATATAATTTCGAACTTTTATTTAATTATTACATAAATGATAAAATATTATATCAATAAGAAAATATGTGCAAGGAAGATACAACGTTTTTAATTAATTTTGAATTTATCAAATTTTTTATGTTACATGTTTTTATACATATATGCAATTATTTAGTGTTATATCAGTCCTAAAAAGATATCGAAAATTGTAGATTCAAAATTCTTAATATTTCGTAATATAATTTTAATTTTTAATTTTTGAAGGATGTTTTAATTAAAAATTTTTAAGTATTAATGTTACATGCATTATAAAAATCGAGATCTTGTTATAAAACGTTTAATTTTCGACATTAAAATAACTTTAGAATCATCGGACGTCTGCGAATTAAGAAAATAATTTATCACGTTAAAAAAATCTTGGTCTTAATCGTGTTTAGTCTCTCCTTCATGCATTATTCTTTGCTTAGTTGCCGATCAGAAAATCAATCAGGAGGGGCAAGAGACAATGACCGCGCTTCTTATCTTTGGTTTTGAGCCCTCTCGCTCGGTGGTGTCTATATCGCAGCGTTTCAGTCAATCTCTTTGTGCTGAGCAAGCAAGATTGTTTGTGTCCATTACAAATAAATGTGCATATCAAAGCAACAAAAAAGCTCATGTTTTATTTTACTCAGTCATCTCAAGCATGAACACAGACAAAAGACCGAGAGGTGTCATGGCCCGCTTTTAGATGATCCCTGAAAGCGATATGCCCCCCTCTATGAACATTAAAAACGTGGACATGAACTACAAAACTAATGTCCACGAATGTTCTTAGAGTATAATATATATGTTGCCCTCTTTTTAATGTCTTCAAAAAGCGTATCATTTTCAAAGACCACCTAAAAAGCGGGCCATGACATCTCTTAGTCTTCTCTTTAATAATATAAATAATATAAATAAAAATATAAATACACGAGATCGCTTATTGACAATTTCATTAGTTTCATTTGTTTACGTTATATTATCTCGGATCTATCTACAGTTATATTTATTTTATTCATTCAATAATTTATTTCATTTACTTACTTATTTATTTTTCTTACGTAGTGGGCACTTTTTTAATAATTATTTGCGGTTAATGAAATTTTATTTTTGCGTTTAATATTATGAATACATATCCATAATTAAAAGGTTAAGAAATGACTCACACATATAGCATGGCACATTATATAAATAATTTATGTAAATACTTACCATATATCTCATTGATCCGTCCGTTATTTAAATTTTTTTTCTCCTGCTCTCTTTGTTGTTTCTCGTGGCACTTGTACTCATTCAAATTCCTCAAGGCACTTGCACTCACTCGCGCAACTATTCGCAATTACATTTAAAAAAGAAATTCACAATATACGAAGAGTATCGGATCATTACTTCACTTCAATTTACATAAATTATTATATACATACATATATATATATCGCGATGAAAGTTCTCGAAGCACATATTTTACGTAATTTATTCATTTGATCAGGTAAGAATCATAGAAACTGAAATCTAAAATAATAAATTATAATTTATATCAAATTGATTTTTACAAGAAGAAATTATTACTTTAATGATATTTATAGAATCAAATATAATTCGACCGCGACGCTTTATCTCGGTCTATTTTTCAATTATTTAAATATAATTTAAATTCAAAACGCACAGCACAACAATCGAATCATAAATCGAAGTAATTAACATAATGAACAGCTTTGTGATACATCAATCCTTTAAGAAATATTATTTAATTAATCTATATAATCTAAAATACTCCTAGACACACACACACACACACACACTTTAATATTCCGTGTATATGTTAAAATACGTGAAATATATCGGCAATGAATGAACAATAACACGTTCGGTCTTGGCGGCATATAACGCGCTGTGTTTACATGTATAGCCTTGATATCATTCGCACGGCAACATTCGAGGAGTAAAGAGCGAAATCGCTCTACTTCGTATATCATTAAATTTTCTCTCTAACGATAAAACGCAATTATGACTAGTAGTTAAAACATAATTCGCTATGATAATTATAATTAATACTTGCTAAACTTTTAATTGTAATTACTACGTGATCGGGAGTGTCGTGCAAAGTGTCTCACGATTATTACGTATACTAATCTTAATTAATCTTCTTTTCGGGAGTGAATGTGAGTGCAACGAAGAAATAGCAAAGGAGAGGAAAAGCAAGTCTGAAAAAGCACTGGCAACGTATTGAGCAACAATATCCGATAAATACTTTATAAATTATTTATCATTTATATTTATCATTCTTATATTTATATTTATATTCAAACTATATTATATATATCATTTATATGTTAGATTTATATATATCATTTATATTCAA